AAAGTGAAGTTATATTATGTTAAATGATAAACATAAAAAAAAAACAAACAGGAAACATAAAAACAAAAAAAGAAACTAGGAACGCCTCCTAGACCAAACTACTCCTACATAGTCCCTTTCAAGTTTGTCACGACAACCAGAAGGAGGCGAGTCAAACTCTTGTAAAGACCAATCAAAGGAGTAGGCAAAAGAGGCCATCCAATCGGCAACCCCATTCCCTTCCCTATGAATATGGGAAATTCTAACCCTCCAATTCCAATCCAGCATATTCCTTAAAAAAAAAAATGATAAACATAAAACTCATGTGTTAGAAACATAAAAACCTTCTCTCTCTTTCCTTTTTTTTTTCAAATTTAATTTTTATTTTTATTTTATTTTAAAAATTTCACGTAAGGACAAAATAAGGTGATGATTATACACAGAGAAAGAAAAGATAATCCCAAACGCAATAGCGATATAATAAAAGGAGAAGATTCGTTTATAAATTTTTTTGACAAATTTTTATAAATTACATTATATTTTCTCGTGAGAATATAGTGAAACTTAGTGTTCTTCTGAAAAAAAAAATAATATAGTTTGTAAGAGTTAATAAACAAAACAAATTTGTAAATATAACATGCCCCATAATAAAATAAGCAATTCAAATTCCAACGGAATGAACAATTGTTTTGCTTTGATGTGTAAATAAATAATCATTTTGACTCGTTAATTATTTTATTTGAAATGAAAGCATGTATCAAGTCATTGCGGACAAACTAATTTAGGATCAACAACCATTGAAATGTAATTCATGTCAATCAAGTCACACGTGGCCGTTCCTTTCTCCTCTTCTTGGATTCAAACTAAATTATACAATGCTTACTTCTAGTTTGATCTAACTTATTCTAATTTTGTTTTCTTTGGTAACAAAAAAGATTTTTTTTAAAGAAAGCAACCATTTTCTTAGCAAAAATTACCAAACTTGCAGTAATTTTAATTATTATGTATTATATATATAAATAATTGATTTCGATATCATTTATTTATTTTCAAACAGTTCAAATAAATAAAAAATATATGGATTTTAATACATAAATTAACGAATTTTATAGATACCTTACAAATGAAAAATAAAATCGTGCCACATACAAATCCTTTAGTAAGACAAAATAATCAATTGGTACAGTTTATAAATTAAATAAGATATTTTTTTGGTAATTATTTAATAAGTTTAAATTTCAGCGTTAATTAAAAAAAAGTTTATATATTCTCTCTCTTTTTTTTGGAGCATATAACAATGCTCTTGCGCATTTACATCTCGGGCAACAGTATTCTCAATGTGCATGCCTAAAACTAAGCACCCATAGCAAAAATGGCCGAAACAATAAGACTTGATATCAATTGTTCAACAATATTTGAAGCCTGCTAGACTTGGTCATAATTTAGGTTTAATTTGGCTATGTCTAACTTATCAAACACTGAAAAATGGGCCAAACTAGTAATTGCAGAAAAGTGGAAAACCGATCGTACTGATTTTAAATTTCAACTAACCCAATTAAAATCTGCTAACCCAAAAACATTGAACAGCAAAACAGGCTCAACCTATTAACACCTACTGGTTAGTGTAATAGGCGAGGATAAGTTTCAAACCAACGATGTCACACTCACAAACCAGGGTGACCCATTAAAAGATGTAATAGTCTGTTTTTCTTTTTTCTTTTTTCTCTATTTAACTTAACCAAGAGTGGTCGTTCCCTTGAGACCTGACCCATTTATACATGGTTGTTTCATCATGTCTGTTTACAACTTCGTTTTTTACCAATCAGTTTTTAAATTTTGTTCAATATCAATGATTTAAGCATCGAGCATATATATAAACATAAACTCTAACACAATCATCACAAGCTTCAAGTTGAAAGAAACGTCAAACATGTTAACGAGCAAGTAAACTCGTTGGATTCACCCCTAGATAACAAAGGCCTACTTTAATTGTTTGTCAAATGGCCTCAGACCACATATGCATATGTTTTACCTAACATGTAAAGTGTAAACTACTATTTTCTATTTTCTTTTTTTCATTTGTCACTTAAAAACATCATAATGTCTCACTAAACAACTCCTAATTCCAAGGTGAGACACTTCCCTACTTTGGTTCCACAACCTCACACCTGCAAAAAAAAAAAAAAAAAAGCGAAAAATAAAGATAGTAGGAAAAAAAGAAAAACGAGAATAAAGCGACTGTTAGCCCTTATTTTGAAATATAAGATATACGGTTAAATCAAAGGTCAGAGCAGATTTAATAATAAAAGGAAGTGATTTTTGCCCAAAGTAAGAAGAAAATAAGACCACCACTTCCTCAGTGGGATAATCACGTAAGAACTAAGAACAGCAATGAAAATCACATCAATGTCCATACCATCCCACACGTTCATAGGTTTTTTCTGGCTGCTTCTGGTCCTTTATCTTCCCACTGTGGTTCCCTGCCTTGGGCCCTGCATTGTTCTTACCCTTTTGCTCTCCTCGGTGCGACATAGCTATTTGAGGTGAGACACTTCCTGGTTCCACAACCTTAAACCTGCCAAAAAAAAAGAAGCAAAAAAAGAAAGATAATAATAATAATAAATAAGAACAAAACGAGAGAGTAAAGCAAATGTTAGCCCTTATTTTGAAATAAAAGATACATGAATAAATCAAAGGTCATAACAGATTTAATAATAAAAGGCAGTGATTTTTGCCCAAAGTTAGATGAAAATAAGACCGCCACTTCCTATGCGGGATAATCAGGTAAAAATAACAATAAAAATCACATAAATGTCCATACCATCCCACACGTTCATAGGTTATTTCTGGTCCTTTATCTTCCCACTATTGTTCCCTGCCTTGTGCTCTGCACTGTTCTTGCCCTTTTGCTTTCCTTGGTGCGACCCTCCCACACGCTCATAGCTTTTTTCTGGTCCTCTATCTTCCCATAATGGTTCCCTGCCTTCTGCTCCTCATGGTTCTTACCCTTGGGCCGCGATTTGAAAGCCTTATCACCATCCCACCATGGGCAAGACATTGTTTCAGGTTTTCTGACTTGTGTTTGTATGCAGCAATGAAGTGGAGGGCATGAATCAGGGGTGGCACTTATTTATAACAAGAGAAGTGAATAATAACTAAGAACGAAGCATGGCCGAGAAGGAAATACTTTTGTCCAACGTTTGAAATGAAATTACAATAAAACCAAGGTACCAATGCCACAGCACACACTGGTACAAAAGAGAAATGCTACATACACATTAAAAAAGGTAATGAGTGGTTACCCTCCAAACAAAAACCAAGGTACTTGTGTCACAACGCCACTTGTACAAAAACGGAAATACCACATACACAAAAAAAGCACAAAACTGCTCATACCACTAGAATACAAAATTTTCTTTTTTTTTCACTCTCCGGAGGACAGTCACGTCGAAGCTTCTAATAGCAAAATCCTTTTTTTTTTTTTCCATTTCTTTATCCCCAGTTTAAAAAATTCCAACCACTTTTTAGGAGACAGATATATCATGTCATAGACATATTTTGTATGGAATTATATCTATTAAAAAATAAAAAAATAAAAAATACTATATAAAAATCTAAAGGTCACTGCAAGAAGAAAACAACATGAGAGTTGTTTTTCCAAAAAACTTATCATCATTAACTATTTTTTTTATATCAGATACATACATAGAAAATAAAGTACTTTTGTTTTCATGCGTGTTTGTATATATTCACAATGGTACGGGAAACCAAACCATATCAACACTTCATTTTTCCTAAAAGTTCCCAACCCCGCCGGTGATTGAAATAAGTTATTCAAATGGCAAAATGCATAACATTTCGATAAAAAGCAGTAATCATCCATCGTAAATGCCATACTGAAATAGAAATACAAACACGCATGAATAAGAAAGCAAGACGAACCATCATTAGAGAAAATCATACAATCAAGATTGTTGAGTGGATGTAATTAAAAAGGGTTTTCTTTTTCTTTTTTATTTATTTTAAGAAAAAAACTTGATCACATTTCACAACCAATGAAACAAACTATACAAGATCGTTGGAACATAGAAAGAACAAATAAAGACAATATTTGAGGCCTTCTTGACTTAGCCATAATCTAGCTTGAATTGGGCCATATCAAACTTTTTAAGCATAGAAAAAAGGGCCAACCTATCAATTGCATAAAAGTAGAAAACCAATCATACTTATTCTAAATTTCAACTAAAACAATTAAAATCAGCTAACCCAATAACATTGAACTGAAAGAACGGGTCAACCAATTAACGCCTACTGTAATAGGTGAAGATAAGTTTTTTTTTTTTTTTTTTTTTTGTAGAAAGGTGAGGATAAGTTTTAAACCAACTGATGTCACACTCTCAAATCCGGAAATTTTTTCAATACATCAGATATATCAACTTTGGTACATTTTTTTTTAAATAGGGAAATTATTTTTTCATTTATACCCTTTTTTATTATTATCTCCACTAAATCTCAAAAACTTTTCCTATTAGATAAAGATGTATCTATATCTGACGTATCCAAGATTTTCTCCACAAATCCCATGAATCAAAAACTTTTTTTCTTTTTCTTTTTAGTCTCAATTATTTAACTTTAGGCAAAAGTGGCTCTCTGGGTTCAACTTTGGGCCCAAACATGACCAATTTTCCAACTTTAAATCGCTTGATCGTACAAGCTTGGGCTCTTTGTTCCCTTGTGACCTGACATTAATGCTGGCACCTCGTTATAATAATCTTTATTTCATTTGTTATCCGACCCTCAAACATGAAAGTAAAAATATTTGTATGTTTGTTTATGTCTTACTTAGAACTTGATCTTTTATCAATCAGTTTTTAAATATGATTTAAGCATTGAACATAGACATCAAACACATTCATAAGAAGCTTGAATGGCCCATGACCACATATGCATATGATTTAAGCATCGAGCATCGAGCATCGAGCATATACATAAACATAAACACAAACACAATTATAACAAGCTTAAAAGTACAAACAAACATCAAACATGTTAACGAGCAAGTAAACTCGTTTGATTCACCCCTAGATAACAAAGGCCTACTTTAATTGTTTGTCAACTGGCCCCTGACCACATATCCATATATTTTACATAACATGTAAACTACTATTTTTTTTTTTCATTTGACACTTAAAAACATCATAATATCTCACTAAACAACTCCTAGTGAGACACTTCCCTACTATGGTTCCACAACCACACACCTGCAAAAAAAAATGCGAAAAATAAGATGATAGAACAAGAGAGAGAGAGAGAGAGAGAGAGAGAGAGAGAGAGAGAGAGTAAAGCAACTGTTAGCCCTTATTTTGAAATATAAGATATATTGTTAAATCAAAGGTCAGGGCAGATTTAATAATGAAAGGAAGTGATTTTTGCTAAAAGGGAGAAGAAAATAAGACCATCACTTCCTCTGTGGGATAATCAGGTAAAAATAACAATAAAAATCACATAAATCAGAATATGATTAAGGCTAAAGGAATTCCTCACCTCAACATAAAAGCAGTAGAAGATCTAGTCGCTGTCGCTCCAGCCACCATGTTCAATAACGCCAATATAGCCAATACGGGCAACAGAGTAGCCAGATTCACTGATGCTACTGCTGTCTTGACCATGGTGCCTTTCACCACATTCAATGGCCCCACTGTTGTCATAACCATACTCATACCCATGCTCATAACCATTGGTGTAGCCATCCTCATAGCCACGTTCATAGCCTTTTACATATCCACGCTCATAGCTTTTTTCTGGCTGTTTCTCGTCCTTCATCTTCCCACTATAGTTCCCTGCCTTGTGCTCCGCATGGTTCTTACCCTTTTGCTCACCTTGGTGCGACCCTCTCACACGCTCATAGTCATAGCCTTTTTCTGGCAGCTTCTGGTCCTTTATCTTCCCATAATGGTTCCCTGCCTTGAGCTCCTCATTGCTCTTACGCTTGGCCCGCGATTTCCAAGCCTTGTCACCATCCCACCATGGACAAGCCATTGTTTCAGGTTTTCTGACTGAGTTTGTATGCAGCAATGAAATGGAGGGCAGTGAATGAGGGGTGGCACTTATAACAAGAGAAGTGAATAATAACTAAGAAGGAAGCATGCCTGAGAAGGAAATACTATTGTCCAAAGTTTGAAATAAAATTACAATATAACCAAGGAACCTACGCAACAGGCCCTCAGCAGCAACAGTGACTAAAGTGTCACTGTTGGCCCAAAACAATACCAAAATGTCACACCAACATTAAATTTTATCAAAATATCACGTGTCATATTTTGTTACACTGTATAGCGAAATATGTGTGCAAATAATTCGCTACACAGTGTAGCAAAATATGTCACGTCAGAATGCGCAGAACCAAAAATTTCACGTGTGAGAATTTTGCTACATTGTGTAACGAAATTCTTCCTGTTTGACACGTGACATTTTTGGTTCTGATGTGGCATATTTCGCTACACCGTGTAGCGAATTATTTGCACACATATTTCCTACACAGTGTAGCGAAATATGTCACGTGACATTTTGACAAAATTTACTTTTTTGACGTGAGATTTTAATATATATTTTTGCCAACGGTAACAAAATAGTCACTGTTCCCCCTCCCCAAACACCTGTACAAAAGAGAAATGCTACATACACATTAAAAAAGGGAATGAGTGGTTACCCTCCTAAAAAAACCAAGGTTACCTGTGTCACATGGCACACTTGTACAGAAACGGAAATGCAACGCACAAAAAAAAATGATGAATGGTTAACTCTCCTAACAAATGCGCAAAACTGCTCATACAATTAGAATACATCCTTTTGGATACATAGAAAAAGGATTTGTATATCATTTACATACATAGATTTTTTTTTTTTCATTTTGTATGATTTTCTCCTTTTGGATTTGTATATCTTCTGAATGATACGTGAGGTGAAACCATACCATATCAACACTTCATTTTTTCAAGGAACGTTTGGCAGAGGAGAAATTTTTTTTTATTCCGAAATCTCAATTTTCAAAAATATAATTTTTACATTCAGTTTACAATAATATTTGAAAATCAAAAATTTAGAATTCCAAAAAATTCGGCATACCAAATAGGCCTAAAAGTTTCCAAACCCTGTGATTCAAATGCCAATATGCACAACACTTCGTTTAAAGCGTTAATCATCCATCGTAAATGCCATACTGAAATAAAAATACAAACACGCATGAATAAGAAAGCAAGACGATCCATCATAAGAGAAATCAGCAACTAGGTATCATAAAACCAAGGTTGTTGAGTGGATTTAAAAAGGATTTTTATTTTTATATTTTATTTATTTTAAGAAAAAAACTTGATCACATTTCACTACCAATAAAATAAAGGGTTTTCATTTTATCCTTTAACATAACACAACAAACTTTCCTACACTCACAATATTTTGTGGGGCCCACATTTTTTAAAACAAAAAAATAAATAAAAAATTAAGGCACGCAAAACGAATCTCTATAATATTACACAATCACTTTTCCTACAACATAACTCTTATAAAACTCTAAAATAAACTATACAAAAGTATAAGTCAAAAAGACAATCAAACCATAATAATAATAAAAGGAACATGACAACACAAACTTTTTTTTTTCTTAAATTTCATGTGTTTTGATTTTTGTAATTTTCTGCGTATTTATTCAATTCTATCCTAATCTTGCGAAGGGTAGCGGAGGCAAAACAAGCATATAAAAATGATGCCAAAATTTTGTAGATAGAGTCCATTGACCTACTGAGAGCCCGTTTATTTGTGTTTCTTAAATAAATAACTTTTATTTCTTATTTATTTTAAAATTATTTTTTATAACAATTAAAGCTATTTATATTTTTATAAAAATATTTAGTTTTTTGAAAAAATATTTAACTTTTGTCTTTTATTTATTTTAGAAGTTAAAAAGTTCAACTTTGAAAAAAATAGATTTTTTACTTTTTTTATGACATCTCCTTTCCAAAAGAAACGAGAACGTAAGAAGTGCTTTTTTTTTTTTTAAAAAAACAACTTTTGAAAGAGAAAAAAACTCATTCAAACAGGTCTTAACCATCAAATAATTGACAAAATAGATTCAGAAAACCAATAACTCACAAAGATTTCAAAAAGAATAGTGATGTTTATACGAAAAAAAAAATAGTAATGAGAACACCGACAAGGAAATTTGGACATGTTTCGGTTTTTTTTATAAAATAATTATGGAAATACATATTTTTATGTTTTTTTTTCTATTTTAAAAGTTAAAAACCAAAACAGAAAACAAAAATAACTCAGATTTGTTCTTTAAATTTGATTTTATAAAAAAAAAAAAAATTACAAATTTTAAAACTTCTTTTATGAAACTAGTGTTATCAAACGAATTTTTTTGTTGTGAAAATTAAAAAATTATTTTTAAAAACAGTAATCACATAGCCTTATTCCCTCCCTCTCTTCTTTCTTCCTCTCTCTCTCTCTTTTCTTCTTTAGTTCACTGAATATTCTCTCCACCGACAACCCTCGTTTCCTTTTTTTTTTCTTCTGTGCTTGACAAGTGACAGGTGCATGTGAGCGAGCAAATCTTGGAAAATGACAGCTACTTGCTTCAGGAGATTATTTACTGTGATCCGGAATCACCATTTTTAAGTGGTCTCTTATTATAAATAAAAGGGAAAAATTGAAAAGAAAAAAAAAAAATAGGAGTAAAAGAAGAAAGAAAAAATTGATAATATGAGAGGAAGCACCAGATGATTAGATAGTCCTGAACCATAATAAATATTTCCTTTCTGGAGACGTTTTGCAGAATGCAGAGAGGTTCAGGATTGACCAACTTTCTTTTCCTCCTTTGCTCATCTTTTTTTTTTTTTTTCAGATTTAAGTTTTTTAGTTTCATTTTTTAGTTTTTTATTTTATTTTAAAAATCGCATAAGGACAAAACAGCAATCCAAAAGCGCAACAGATACAAGAAAATAAGCCTTTCAAGTTTCAATGTGCATAAAACTTCGTCAAAACGTTAATGAACCATGGTAAATGCCACATTGGAATATAGAAATAACAAATTAGGGCTATAACGCTTCAGATATCAAAAAACCAATACTGACTTTGTACTACAGAAAGCACACTGAAATGCATATAATAATGCAGAAAATTTCTAAATCAAGCTAAGAAACCGAAAGCATATTAACACATGAATTGAATTGATTACTGAACCATCTTTATCTAAGTAAAACATGAGTAATATACCTGTATTTGTTCCAATAAGTTTCTCTATCTTCAAGGTGGTGGGAGACTTGTTGAAAATAATCAAGTATGAGTTGTAAAGAAGTACCACATAGACTAGACATAGACCAAGTGATGACCATATAAGTGTGAAAGACCCATAAACCTGCAACCTTAAGATTTTGGGTTAAGATGTGGTGTCGGCCCACTTATTATTGTTTGTCATTTGGCCCATTGGTGGATGTATCCTTTGCAAAGGGTTTTGGGCTCCCTCATTCCATTTCCCAACAACACTTGTGTTTTTTTACTTAGAAAACTAAGAACCCTAACTTATATTCTAACCTGAGCCCAATCCTTCTATCTGCACCAATTTTATTTTATTATTATTTTTATTATTATTTATTTTTGGAGAATAACTGCACCAATTGTTTGTTGTTAGGAATTCTGCTGCAATGCGTTTTCATTTCTGTTTTGCTTTCAGTTACAACTTACAACAACCTAGATTCGGCAAAAAGGAGCCAACTCAACTCGGCTAAAATGAGTCGGGTTGGAGTAAGAAAAATAAGCTAGTAACTCAAGTTAGCCTGACTCGTTTCAGTTCGAAAAAAATTGAACCAACTCACGAGTCAAACGGGTTGACTCGCGGGTTATGGTTTTTTTATATTGTTTTTTTAATAATATAAAAGTATAAAAATTAACGAAAATAAAGTGGAAAGCTAAAATCTAAAATTTCAATTCCAAAGACCCAAACGAAAATACCATGCAACTGCCAATAAGCCTGCGTTAAGGACCTTTTTTATAGTATGTGTGACATTGTGAATGTGATGCCAACTGCCAATAAGTCCAGGTCCAAATGAAAAAGGAATTTTCTATGGTTTATCTACATAATGTCTTTGTATGGAATGAATTAATAATTTAGAAAAAAAAATTAGAAGTTATAGCATCAATGAAAATTTATTTTAATTTTTCATTTTTTCGAGCCAACCCTGACCCGACTCGGGTTGGGTTGGGTTAAATTTTCTGACTCGTTTATTTTTCGAGTCAACCCTAACTCGGCTCGTTTTTTTCGGGTTGAACAAGAGTTGGGTCGGGTTGGCCCGTTTTGCCAACCCTACAACATCCCATGTGGGTGAATTTGTGATAATGAGAATCAAGAATAATATTTCTGCATTTAATGGAGATAAATTATCTTCATTTATTCCTAAAACAATGTCGATTTGGGATTGAAAAATTAAATAATTATAATTATAAAGACTATAATAACCTTGAAATAAATTAAAATTATAAAAACACTATGATTTCCGCCCAAAACGACATCGTATTAGGTTTACTGCAGAAAAAGCGAACCCTATGAGAATTATAGATAAAATAAATAAGGGTTCGCTTTTTCTCGAGTAACTGCAGAGAAGTTATCTGCAATAAGCCTAATATGACGTCATTTTTTCAGAAATCATAGTGTTTTTGTAATTTTAATTTATTTCAGGGTTATTATTGTCTTTATAATTATAATTATTTAATTTTTAAATTCCAAAACGACGTCGTTTTGAAAGTAATTGCAGATAACTTATCTGCGGTAACTGCAGAAATATTATCCTGATAAAATAATTATCAAATTTCTCTCTCTTTCCGTAATTCTCCCCAAAATTCTTCTATAATTCCAGTTCTAAGTCCCTCAATTCAAAAATGGTGCTATTCATTTCTGCAGAATCTCATTCTTATTAAAATACAATTTGTTCTCTTTAAAATGAAATTAAAAGACAAAAAAATCTCTTAAATATTTTGTTTTTAATTTTGATAG